TAGCTGACCACAGCTCTCTTTATTAATTTTGCCATAAGATGCTATAGAAAAGGGACTGTTTTTTTTTTAAATTAGATACTGATTTATACCTAATAGGTCTGTTCCAGTACAAGCTTTTCTGTAAAATTCTGTACAGGAAAAAAATCAAAAGTTTTTTCCCATACCTTCTGCATCAAATGATTTTCCTACAGCAGCTTACAGAAACCCGATTAGTAATTTCCGTTCAATTCCACTACCTTAATTGCTTATCCTTGACAGATACACGTATTTCGTCTACAATGTGTAGACTTCTGCAGTGCCTTGTACTTGATATACTTGACTATGTACAAGACACTGAAGAAGTCTGCTCCATGTCGACGAAATACGCGTTTCTGTCAAGGATGAACAATTAAGGTAGTGGAATTAAATGGAATCCTTGTATATTGAATCTATAGATTCAATCAGGATAATCTTAATCCAAAATTATCATTTCTGTTTACTTTTTTTTTGCCCTTAAGGGTAACAATAGGGGATGGTTGCAGAGATCTCCAGAATGCCATTTTAAATCAAAATAGTAACCAAAGTTTTCTTTATACCAAACGACCCACCTCGGTGGACGATTAAAACTGGAATCTGGAAATGCATTATTTTGTTTTGGTTTTCAACCATTACATTTATATTTGTATAGGCTCAATCGAATAAACTTTATGGAGCCAAGTTATGATTTGCGTTGATTTATGATTTATGATACAAAAATTTCACGATTTCTAAAACATCTAATCTTATTCAACGTTGTATCAGCTCTGTAATTTAACAGTTATTACAGAAACAAATAAACAAACAAAAATATACACAAATACACTCAAAATACCAACTATGCAGAAAAATAATCAAACTACAATATTAGGTTAATACTCTTCAAGACAACATATGTGAATTGCATAAACTCCAGATCGCGTCTAGCCAAAATATCCCGAACTTGAACATTAGGTTGTCTACTTCGGATAAAAGGGAATCGTTAAGTTCGGTGCTCAGCACAAGACCAAATCATATGATCCGCGTCCTGATAACCTTTTCCACATTCGTTTATATAACCTTTAACACACAGGACCATCTCGTTTGGGTTCTGACTTGAAGAATTGTTCCATGATAAAGAACTAGAATACTTCCGAGTAGCATCTAATACATGTCTTGTTAGAGTGGTTTGAGAACCGTCGATTGAGAATGTTTAACAAAGGTGTAAATGTTTGTGTGGTTTAAAATTTGTTGCTGACGAAATGTGATAGAAAATCCAATTTTAAAACCTTAGTTTTCCGTTCGTTTATCAAAGGTAAAACGGAGAAATCGTTTTATCTCGGTTACCAAGCGTTGCATTGCCATGAAATATTTTTGCCATGTAGAAATTGATGCGAGCTTTTCATTGAAAAAATTGATGATGATTAGGGGAGTCAATGATTTTCAAAAAATCTTCAATTAAAGTTATTCAGCCCATTATGCCTCCGGAACTGGAAGACAGTTCGAATAAAAAATTCAATAGCGATCTATGCAATGACCAGGTATTTCGAATGATGAAATGTAAACGATATTGCTCAGAAAAGCCATATTGAAGAAAGGTTTCTTAGATTATATGCAGACATCGAGTTAGAGTGGCCCGAAAACCATCGATTGAGAATGTTTAAAAAAGGTGTAAATTTTTGTGCGGGTTGTTATTTATCGCAGACGAAATGTGATGATACACTCAACCTTAGTTATACGATAGTGTAACAAAGGCAAGACGGAGAAATCGTTGTATCTCAGTATCCAAGTGTTGGATAGACATGAAATATGTTTGCCATGTAGAAATTGATGCAAGCTTTTTATTGAGAAAATTTGATGATGATTAGATGAGTCAATGTTTTTTAAAACATCGTCTATTAAAATTAAATCTCCGAAACCAGAAGTAAGATCGAAAAAAAAATCCCACAGTAATCTATGCGCCAACGAGGGCTTTCGAATGAGACATCAGCGATATTTATCGAATAAGCCATCTCAGAGAAAGCTTTTTTAGATTCTACGCGTTCTCAAACAGCCATACAGAGATTGCAAAATGTCGTCTAGCTGAGACGATTTTCATATTAAATTTGATTTGACGTTGTCGAAATCAAACTGTTAAGTTAGACTGGTCCAAGATTTGTTGATTGAGAATATGTAGCTAAGGTGTACATTTGTTTGTGGGTTGCTATTTGAGACGCAGACGAAATGTGAAAGTAAATCCAATTTAAAAAAACTTAGTTTTACGGTAGTGAAGACTTGTTGTCCAAATCAGACACAAATTCTATTAAGTTTTGGAAAAATTAAAGTTTTTGTGCATAGGAAACTGGACCCATGGTGTGTCTAAACCAGTCGTTCATGTATTGTCAGTGTGACGGAATACACTCTAAATAATATTTCTTTGTGTTTAATCTTTCAATTTTGGCAATCCATTTATCGATCATAAGAATAAACAGTTCTAATATTATATCATATGATTTAATTCGAGAAGTTAAGTCATAAAATTGTTTAGATTCAGTAGAAAATAATAAACCAAACAAATGTGTTGCCAAAATTATGTAGTACCTGTAGAACAGAATACTGTTAAGTGACATTCCTTATGGCGACTCTCTAAGGAAGCCTTATCATAAATCTTCAAGAGCTCATATTTTTCAGCTCTCACAAAACATACAAAAATGAAACTGTTACTCCTCGTTTGCTGAAGCGCAACATGGTGGCTTTCAAGAAAGTGTTGCCAAATTCAGTGATTTAAAAATATTTCAAAGATTAATTTTATTGTTCAGAACGATGAGAGTGTCATGCCAATTTTAATAAACATTTTAAACTCTCATCAATTTATCGATATCTTTGAAATCGTGGAAAAAATATAAGCACTTATTAAGCATATTTATGCAAAAACTGTGAACCATTTTTTTTTAAATAATTTGGACTTAGTGAAAAAAATTATAATTTTTATTTCTGTGTTGAATAAACTAAAATTTATTAGTTACTTCTTAGCTTCATAATTTAAACATTTGCCTTTTTTCCAACATATCAACTGGTAACCTTGAACACTAGTATAGGATTGAATTGGGAGAGCAACATTCGTGAGAGACTTGTGCTCTTTTCTTGCACCGCACACCATACGTACAAAGTGAACGATGGTTTTTTTTTTAATTTGAAACCTAGATGTCGTTCCAGTAGAAAAAGGGGAGATTTAAAGTTTCCGCTATTGACTTAAGTATAACAGAACTATAAATGTCTAATGATTTGAGGTTGATTACGGTTGCTTTGCGACATACTTAATTTTGTAAGCTGAATCTTTGAATTTTTTGCCGAGATTTTCATAGCCAACTGGCAATCTAATTCGGCTGAGATCTCAGCAAAAGTGACGTGTGGTTGCTGATTCTTGGAAAATGTTTCACTGTTGCTGTTGTTATGCACAACATGCTTGCTGAAATCTTAGCAAACAATCTTGCAGGGCAAAATACTGTCGAGCTGAAGATAACCAAAAAGAAGTTTTTGGACAAATTTGCACAAACTATTTGCCTTAAGGTATTCACGTGAAAAATAAACATGAAAATAATTTAAAGTTGTCTCTTTTCCCAAAATATACTAAACGTTATTTTGATAAAACGACTTTGGCCCAAATTCGTTTAAACTATACACGTTTTTTCAAATTTTAAAATATAAAAAAGAGCTATGATCATTCTGATTAGAAACAATGTAGATTCATTCGGTCAATTAAAATATAACTTTACAGTGCTTAACACTCCAAATCGCTTCACTGCACCAACTTCCTAATTCCAAAAATATTCTCTCCTCACCCACCTGGTTGCTTTTTTTCTGACACCTTCACTTTTTAATTTTGCGCACTCACAGCGGCCCAAAATAAGTATCATCAAGATTCACTTAACACTTTTCTTAGAGTCCCCAAGTTCACTGAACTTTCCTTCGAGCTGGAACTTTTACCAGACCTGCAAAAATCCACCGACGCTCCAATGAGATCCCCGAATGAGATTTCCCATTCTGTCACTCACTCTCCCTCGCTATCTCTCTATCTCTGCTCACTCTTAGTAAGTTTGATCTCGCTCGACTGTCCTCTCCCATTGCAGAAGAGCAATCTCTCACTCTCTTCGGTTCCCGGTCGGCTCACTCGCTCGTGCTGCATTATCGATGCATCCCGAAGCTTATGTACCCGAACCCAAGTTCATTCACCTCACTCGTGCATGACCCAGTTATGACACTTGCTCGCTTTGTACGTGATTTTTCACATTTTTGATCCAGTTTTGAGTTTGCTGATTACATTAAGCGTCTAAGTTTTTAGCATCAAATTTTATTCCCCAAAATATCTGTTTTTTTTGGAAATGATGTCAATAATCAATCACATTTGAATGAATCTAGAAATTTCCAATAGAAAATATATCTATTGCTCACTCAAACACGAAAATTGCATTGCTTCACCAATACAAACGAACCGACATAGATTTCAAAACTCGGCCTTCACCAACACACCAGCTCCACGAGCGCACCAAGTTCAACGACCCCCAGTCGAAGTGACCCAGTTTCCGGGCCTTCCAAGTCACTCACCGGTGACTTCCAACTATTGGCGCAGCACTGTAGCGCTCATCTCGCGATTACACCGTCAAATATCTTCGTTCCGAGATGGAATATTCAACCAAAACAAACGGAATCATCGTCTTCAAGAGTGAGCAGAACTCGTCCCTGACTCAGAACTCGAAACAAAACAAAAATTCTGACGACGCAATTACCGAGGCCAGCGTCCTTCACGAACTTGGATCGAGCTCTGATCACATCAACACGTTTGCGTACCCAACTCGAATGACAACGCAAATTAATTGTGTTGTTCTTGGGCTGACCCTGACGACGTCTTATACGAAAAAAAACCACGAAGCTCGCGGCACCGCAACATTAGGAAGTACAATATGGACTTCCCTTTGCGAAGGTCTTTTGAAGTTCGCGAGCACGCGCCACCAACGCGACGAACTTACCTTTTGAAAAGCGGAATGGTGTAATCCTTCAATGGCGTTCGATTATGAGACACATGCTAATTGACTGTTTATGATGGCGGAGTTCAGCGGGATCGCTAATTTTTGCGGCCACTTTTGACGGGCGGTTCCAGAATCTCCGTTTCAACAACAATATTCCCGTCGCAACACTTGTCTGATTGGGATTCAATTTCCGCAATTGCGTTCTAGCTTATTCAAATCACTTGTGGAATTCGATTCGATGCTTCCCTCCCTGTTTCACTGTGAATACACTTGCAGCAATGTGAGATCATGCACACCCGAGTTCCCCCACTCTTTGGGCTCACGGGCTCTTCCCGCTTTATCCCAGGTGCAGATCAGAACAGCAAACAGCGCAAAGTCGCAATTTGTTCCCGATTCTTCTGTCTCACTCTAATGCACTGCAGCACGTCAGCAGCCGTCTCATTCACATGCCATTTAATCCAGAGGGATCACTTGATTCCTGTTTGACTTGTTTCTTTGAGGTTTTCCACACGTTCACCATATCACTGACTCTTCAGGGTGTTCTTCCAGGAGCGCTTCCTCGCAGCCGTTGGTAACGTTGGGTTCAATGATTTCTTCTGTTTGTGTTTATACACACTTGGTCACTTGATTTACTCAATCGGTTTATCACTTACGCAATGCACTTTGATTGGTTTCCGTTTATTGATTCGGCAAACTTTGGTGGGACCGTCCGCTGGATGAAGTTCTGGATCGTTGATCGCTGTAGCACTAAACAGGTTCGTGTCTTCCTTGGTTTTGCGCTCGTTTAAATCCTTCTCCGTCGCAACAAGTCTGCTTCCGTTGCGCCACTGTTAATCTTCAAATACTTCACAATCTTCCAAACGATCGCTTGATCTTTAAGTCGTAATATCACTGCTCTTCAAGGTTATCTCACTGAATACGATCATTTCTTAGATCCTTTGTTTTCATTCACTCCCGGGTAATCCACTAAGGATCCCAATATTCCCTTATTCACAAAAAAAAGAAGCATAAATTGATCACTCTCACATTCGGGAACCGCACACATGGGTGTTGTTCTTCTTCGCGTACCGACGATCGAGTGCGGCAACAACAAGTCACAGCACAACCCGATCCGGCTTATGTAACTCTCAATAATATTCTGTGCCTCCCACTGGCTGGTGCACGGTGCGCGTGTGACTCAACACTGCCAGATCAGTTTGTTAGCCCCAAAAGCTCTCCGGTGCCGCGATCGCGATCTTCCCGAACTCACTCTTGCCTGAGTGCCGTTCTCTCAGAATATTTCTGCTCGAAAGCTTTCGATCGCGTATCACAAATTTTCAAATCTTCCACCGACAGCAGGGATGCGTCCGTCTCGTGTATTGTCTTCGGCGCAACTAAATCGAGGAAGATACGTAAAATCAGTGTTTACTCTCTGGAAACCACAATTTGACGGTCAAGGTACTTCCCCCACCACCGAGCACGAGCACCGATGGGAACCTCACACTAACACCAGCAGCGATCGGATTGTGTAACCCTGCCGCCGTCCCGAGCTAGAACTCTTCTGAAAGCTTCGAGCGCATCCACAACACCTGCGATCCATCCAGGTGCTCAGATCGTACACCTCTCCGGCTCGCTCTAGAACCTACCAACACCAGCGTACAAATTCCCTGTAGCTGGCGTGTAGAAGAAGGAGCATCGCGATCACTCACCCTCGCACCGAGAGAAAGAGCATATCCATCGAGAGAACATTATGTATATGTGCGTCTTCGTATATCTTCCTCCTTTGAACCCCCCACCCCCCTCGTGAACCAAAATCCTCACCTCAGCAGCGAAAAGGAATAACGGTACCGTCCGACGATCGAAGTTTATGCTTTACTGGCTGCATACGACGATGATCGTCCTCCCGTTTTCCCTCACCACCATCCAACCTCACTCGTACAAACAACAGAGGTAGGGCTACAGGTAGAATTCTGTGTGTTCTTTTTTTCGGTATTGCGTGCTGGCACTGAACTTCACACTCTCTGCCCCGCTGCATCACCAGCACCAGCAGAGCTGAAGTTCATGGGAATTGCCTGCGTGTGTTGTCGAGGTCAACCTTTCATTCAGTTTATGCCTACGACCGACGACGATGCTATCTTTTTTTTTACCATACATACCTACTGCATAGGCATTTGACAGCAGCGTGGTGACGGTAGCGGCCGGCGGTATTACAAAATCTATTGTTATGCTACGGTTCTTTCTCTGCCGCTTTTTTCCCGTTTGTCGCAGTGTCTCGCTAGCTCTCTCGTAGGTGTCAAACAAAAAACCGGTGCGGGGGCGGAGGTGAGGAAAAGGTTAAATGTTGTATTTTTTTTTTGGCCAGCGTATGGTTCCGTGAATAGAACGGGATAGGGGAATGGGTTTCTAATATTATGTCATTGTTTAGGAAAACAGTAGATCTAATTTGATTATGTAATTTGCTTCGGTGCCTTTCATTGGAAACCGTTTGAATGGAGTTCATTTGAATAAATTTGGGTATGAAATTAATTGCTTTGGGAATGAAAGGCGATAACAGGTAGTGGCTTTACCATTTGAAATTCAACAAAATTACTAGCTCTTTGTAATAACTGGAATGATTTTTGTTTATTTTATTAAATTTTCGTTACATGTCCTAGAGGGTGGTGCTCATCCAACGGCCCGCGGAATGCTTTCAGTCTGTGAAATGTATGTTGATGATGTGATGTTTTTGAAACTGCATAATATTCATAGAGATAACTTTGAATTGTCAAAATTATTTTCTTTTCGTTTGTGTAGGAACATAGCTCACCATTGCTTGAGTAATCTTCTAAATCGGTTTACATCCTCTTTAAAAGTTTTAATCATTTCAAAGAGTTTCTTTTAAAAAGCACCCTTGGAATGTTTCCAAAAGCTTTTTGATATGCTCTTTGGAAGTTCCTCGTAATCTTCCCATGATTTGCAATAAACTATCCTCCGAATTGGAATTCACCTTAGAATTCCATTGAAACAATTAGCAGATTGCGATTCCTTTGATTTTATTTGGAGCATCTCAGGAGACCCCTCAATATCTCTGAGCTTCCCTGAATATCTGAATCTAAAACTCCAAACTTGACGACAAATAAACAAACTATCTTGGCAATTTCGAGTGACTTTGATGTGTCCTGAAGTTATCTAAGGCTTTTTGATTTTCATCAGTTTTTACGGGACTTGTTGAACTATTCTGATGTATCCTCAACTACTTAACCCTCCGTTACTCACGCCAACTTTTGTAACACGAGTACTCGCGCGTTGTACTTTGTACAACAGTGTGAGTTTTCCATTGCCATTTTGCATCCGAGCTACCAATTGATATGAAACCAATGGTATTCATTAAAAAAACTTGTTTTTAACTTAACAAGCTAAACTTTTATCACAGTTAACCCCCAAAAAATGCGGATAATAGAGAAAATGTGAATGGAAACCGCTTAAACGGTGTCCGTACTACGTGGGATTTGACTTAATTGGTTACAACTTGGAACAACTCGAAATCCTGACCAGATAGAAAGTTACTGTCTTGGGTAAAGTTGTTCTAGAGATCATAATCTTTTCGTTGGTGGAGAGTTGTTCAGAATTTTCTCACCACGTAGCGCTAGAATACATGTGAAATTATCGCATACGATATATCTCGAGATCATGACCAGATAGAAAGTTACTGTCGTCGACAAATTTGTTGATGACATCAAAGCCTACTTATTGGTGCACAATAGTTCAAAACTTTCTCAATACGCGGCGCTAGCATAACGTGTAATTCTCATATAAAATATCTCGAGATCCTGACCAGATAGAAACTTACTGTCTTCGGCAAAGTTGTTCAGAAGGTCAAGGCCTTTTTATAAGTGGACAGTAGATCAGAGTTTTCTCACTTCGCGGCGCTAGTATACATGTAAAACTCTCGCATATATAAAATATCTCTAGATCCTTACCGTATAAAAAGTTACTGTCTTCGGCAAAGTTTTTAGGAAGTCAAGATCTTTTCGTTGGTGGAGTATTTCAGAAAATGCTCACTACGTGGCGCTACTATATTCGTGCAATTTTCGCATATATAATAGCTCGAGATCCTGAGCAGATAGAAAGTTCTGTCTTCAGCAAACTTGTTCAGGGGGTCAAGTATTTTTGGCTGGTGAACAGTAGTTCAGAATTATCTCACAATGCGGTGCTAGTATACACGTGAAATTCTCATATAAAATATCTCGAGATCCTGACCAGATAGATAGTTACTGTCTTTTGCAAAGCTGATCAGGAGATCATAGCCTTTTTGCTGGTTAACAGTAGTTCAGAATCTTCTCACTAGGTAGAGCTCGTATACATGTTAAGTTCTCGCATGTGATAGATCACTAGACCAGATAGAGAGTAAATGTCTTTGGCAAAGTTGTTCAGGAAGTCAAGATCTTTTCGATGGTGGATAGTTGTTCAGGATTTTCTCACTACTTGGTGCTAAAGGGCGAACACGAAATTATTGCGACACCGAAAATGTCATGCCAATTTTCTTATTATGTTTAGAATCAAACCAAAACTTTAGGGTAGTTTTATACATATATTTACTTCAAAAATCAAAAGAAAAGTTAATCGATGGAGCCTTGAGTGTAAAATTGAACGCATTTTCGCTTGATGCACTCCATCAAAGTCTTTACAGTGTCATCCGGTACCAGTTTCTCAGTTTTTTTTTTCCATTTTCTTAACATGTCCTTCTCGTCTTTGACTGTCTTCTTGCTCTTCCGAAGTTCCCGCTTCATTATTGCCCAGTACTGCTCCACCGGGCGCAGCTCCGGACAGTTTGGCGGATTCATGTCCTTTGGAACAAAATGGACAGAATTGGCCTCATACCACTCCAGGACACTTTTAGAATAGTGGCATGATGCCAAATCTGGCCAAAATAGCGGAGCTTCGTCGTGCTGCTGCAAGACCGGCAAAAGGCGCTTCTCGAGGCACTCAGATTTGTAGATCTCGCCATTTACTGTGCCCTTTGTCACGAAAGGCTCACTCCTCAGTCCGCAAGAGCAGATGGCTTGCCAAATGAGATATTTGGAGGCGAACTTCGACATTTTCTTCTTCTTAAATTTGTCGTCCACATCGACCTTGCTCTTGCCGGTGAAAAACTCCAACTCCGGAATTTGCTTAAAATCGGCTTTTATATACGCTTCGTCGTTCATCACACAGCAGCCATATTTTGTCAGCATCTTCTCGTAGAGCTTCCGTGCCCGAGTTTTAGCCGTCGATTGTTGCCGCTCATCGCGGTTCGGGAAGTTCTGTACCTTGTATGTATGTAGTCCAGCTCTCTTCTTTGTATTCTGGACGTAGCTCTGCGACATGCCGATCTTTTTAGCCAAATCAATCACGGCTTGAGACGTTGGGATTTGCTTTAATCATCCGCTTCACCTTTCCCTCCGTCTTTTTGTTCTCCGGTTCCGGTTTTCTTCCAGCTCCTTTGCCGTGGTCCAACGTCAACCACTCCTGGAACCGCTTCAACACTCTGGAGACGGTTGAATGGTGAATGTTCAACATTTTTCCCAACCTGGAAATTCCAGGTGTTTGGAAAGAATTTGTTCTCTCAACTCGCTTTGGTTCACCTCCATTTTCGTTGAATCGAAAAACACGACTTCGAGTTTGACAGCATGTACACAATACACATCAATGAGAAAGTGTGCGAAATTTGGTTGATTTTTACCCAATGGTAAAAAAGTTATACCCTGTTGAATGTGTCGCAATAATTTCGTGTTCGCCCTTTAGTATACACATGCAAATCTTGCATATACAATAGCTCGAGATCCTGAGCAGAGAGAAAGTTACTGTTTTTGGCAAACTTGTTCAGGGGGTCAAGACTTTTTGGCTGGTGGACAGGAGTCTAGAATTTTCTCACCACATGGCGCTAGTAAACATGTACAATTCTTGTGTATGCTAAGCTCAAGATTATGAACAGGTAGAAAATTACTGTCTTCGAAAAAGTTGTTCATGAGGTCAATGTCTATTGCTTGGTGCACAATTGTAAAACGGTCTACACTGATTGACGACAAATAAATAAATAAATAAATAAATAGTTTAAAATTTTCACACTACGTGGCGCTAGTATACACGTGAAAGGTTTCGCTAGTAGACAGTAGTTCAAAATTTTATCACTACTTAGCGCTAGAATACACGTGAAATTCTCGCATGTGGTTTGTTTCGAGATCCTGACCAGATAGAAAGTTACTGTCTTCGACAAAGTTGTTCAGGAGGTCTTAGCCTTTTTGGCTTGTAAACAGTAGTTAACAATTTTCTCACCACATGGTGTTAGTATACATGTACACTTTTTGCATATGCTATATCTCGAGATCCTAATCAGATAGAAAGTTACTGTCTACAACAA